TATGCTGTGCAAATTTACGCTTAACCCATAGGTATGTTAAATTTTTTTACATCTTTTCCTCCCCCAAAAAAAAAGGAAAAAAATATATGCTTAAAATTGTTAATACATGGGGTAAAGGGGAAAATAAAAAAATTGTACCTTAACTGATTGATGTTGTTCTCAGTGACATATAGTTTCATCAAAAAAATGATTTCTTTTGCGCGCGAAAATTCATTATATATTGGCGAGAATATACTCACATAATTTTTTCTCATACTTCGACTAATTTTTTAATCGTCATGATCGAAAAAGTGCGAGGTGAGCGGAAAATAGGAAAAAAATTCACTTAATCTTACAAGGTTACAGAAATGTCATAATTCAGTTATACTCCTTGTTTCATTTCTTGTTTGTGCTTTTTTTCTTTTTCTATGGGCTGTTTCGCACGCGAATATTTTTGACTTTTTTGTTTTTTTTTTTCTTCCAAAGCCTTGTGATTTTGCAGTTGACCGTACACTTGTTATGGTCGTGCCGCGTGACTTTGCAATTGATCATGTATTTATATGTGGGCTCCACTTTCCATGTTCACGTATATTTGCCCTGTAGCTTTGCAATTGACCATAAACTTACACTTGCTCTTTCCTTGACCTTGTTCTTGCACTTTCTCCCTGCTTGACATTACCCTTGCCCTTATTCTTTTCTTGACCTTACACTTGCACCTGCTCTTACACGAGTACTTGATCTTTTGCTTGGACGTGCCCATTCTTTTTCTTCTTAACTTCCATTTTCATTTTCCAATTGTTTTTAATTTATTCGTATACTTCCCCATAAACTTCACTTCACATTCACATTTGCTCTAGCATTTATGTGTGCACGTGACCTTACATATTGACTTGGACTTATACTTCATCTTGTAGGCACATTTGACCTTACCTTGTCCCATACTCGTGCAGTGGATCTTGCCCGTGGCCCGGATCTTAATCTTGCCTTGTTCTTACTACTAATAGTAACCTGTTTATACATCCAACCCTTTTGTTTCCTCTTGAGGCATATCTTGATCTTGCCCCTAAATAATACTCTAGCTTTGACCTTGATCTTTCCCTTACTCGAATCCTTCCTCCGACTTCTTTCGTAAAAGATGAGGTACTCCATACCTTTGGCTCATCATGCAATAGTATACAGACAAAACTATTCCTTGTATCGATTTATCTAATCGCATGTGTGCATTATCATAAGAAGGGCCTTAGCATCTCTTAACCAATGTGTTTAACCGGGTTAATCTATTTCCTTGTGAATGATGGGCCCATGTGAGGTGATGTTCCTCATTTCCGGCTCCCTGAAAAGTAAAAATATTCTCATTTTGTTCGTGGAAAATGAATAAATGTGAAACCACATATATTTTTATTTTTTCCACTCTTTTAATTTTTACGGGAGTGCAAAATCTGGTCAAATCTTTAACACAAATACGTATATGCGGACTTCTTCACGCTTATTAATTTATTTCTTATAAATATTTTTCTTGCACAAATTCTATGTTCCCTCGCAATATACACATTATGAAGTTTAAAAGTTCCTACTCTCTCATATGTGAAAATTGTTCACGCCATTGGGCAGCTG